TGCCCGGGCCTGCTGCCCCAGGGTGGGCGGAAGGGAACCCCACCAGGTCACTCCCTTGGATCTGCTCTAAAACAGCAGGTGGCAATGGGGCCCAGGACAGCCCCTGGCTTAGGCTCTGGGTGTCTATGGTCTCCTTGCTTCCACCTCCTTCCCGCTCTGCTCTGCCCCTGGCCCCCATGGCTGGTCTTTCCTCGACCTCCAAGGCCAGATTGGCTCAAGGATGGATTAAATTGCCCTCAAACCCCTACCAGGGGAAGGGACATGGAGAGGGTGGAGGTGAGCGTGACACATGGTCACCCCTTTGCAGAACTGGTGTGGGTCATCCTGTTCTGGGACAGGGGCCAAAGCGGAGCAGGCATGCCCTAGGGAGATGGCCAGAGGGACTCTGTATATCTGAGCATGTGGGCTGAATTCTGTCTCCCTCAAATTCATCTGTTGAAGTCCTAGCCCCTTAGACTTCAAAATGTGACTGTATTTGCAGACAGGGTCTTTAAAGAGGTAATTAAGGTAAAACGAGGTCACTAGTGAAGTGTGAGACACTGATCTGTGCCCGACTTTTTGTGACCTCACGGACTGTAGACCTCATGGCCCTAATCCAGTAAGACTGGTTTAAGAGGAAATGAGGACACAGATACACACAGAGGGAAGACGGCTGTCTGCAAACCAAGGAGAGAGGCCTCCAGACAAACAGCCCGCTGGCACTGTAACCCCCACGGCCTGGAACTATGAGATAAAACACTTGTGCTGTTTAAGCCCCCAGTCTGTGGAACACTGTTATGGCAGTCCTATCACACGCATTAAGGATTTTTGTGTTTTGTGATGTAAGAGGTAGGCAATGGTAGTTTGGAGGTGTAAATTCTAGATTTGTCCAAACCTTTGGATGGTTTGCGAGGACAATGGGACTCACACGTTACCTTGGAGAGGCTTTCTCTGACCATCTTTTTTTTTTTTTTTAACCTTTTTTGCTGTTCTGAGTGGCAGGCAGGATCTTAGCTCCCAACCCAGGATCAAACCCAAGCCCCTTGCAGTGGAAGCAGGGAGTCTTAACCACTAGACTGCCAGGGAAGCCCCTGACCATGCTTCTTAAAGTGAAAGCCCCTCTTCCTCTTCCGTCCTGAGTAATCGGTCCAGTCATTAGACAGTACCAGGCAAGGCAGGAAGCAGCCTCGGGGTGGGACTGTGCTGCGGTGGCCCCAGGTAGGATGGGGTCTGAGCAGGGGCTCTGGTGGTCCATCCAGAGATGTCGGGACCGAAGGAAGGTGAGGACACCTTCAGGGCTGGGCTGGTGGGGCAGAGAGTGATTGGTTACCCACGAGCCTGAGCAAATAGGTCTGTACATGAAGGGCAGCGGGAACCAGGCTCTGCAGTTAAAGGGGGAGGGCACAGGGAACGGAAAACTGGAGGGGATCTGTGGTGTTGGGTTGTGACTGTATACACTTGTGCTATCCTGCATATACAGGTAGGACTAGAAATACACATGGATCCGCACGCTGTGTCCACTGAGCGTCCCCACAGGAATGAGTGCACGCTGTAACCTCATGGGAGGCACCTGCAGCTTTGGGGAGCTCAGAGGGCCACGGCTCCGTGTTGCCCACCCAGGGATCCCTTTTGCCGGTCCCTCCTCTTGTCAGAGGTGCTGGCCCCACTGGCCCTGGGACACGGAGTACTCCTGCCACCTTGTGGTTGCTGTGGGACACTGTCCTGAGCCAGAGTCACCCCTGCAGACGGCGGGGTGTGGGGGCAGGGATGGGGTGGGGGCAGGGCTTTCCCAAGTGCCCGCCGTGACCACCCCAGGGGGTCATCCAGCAGGACCACCCAAGACCAGCAGGCAGACCCTGCTTCTCTCCTGCTGCTGGGATCAAGGCACCATGGCCCCACTTAGGCAGCAGCTCAGACCCAAGAGAGGGGCACGAGGGCCCTGTGTGGGAACCCAGGTTGTCCAGGAGGCAGCCAGCACCCTTGAGAGCTGGAAAGGCAATACTGGAGGCTGAGCTGGGGTCTCTGAAATCACCCAGGATTTGATAGGGCAGTGCGCCTGACTGAGTGTCTGACGCAGAGGCCATTCTGGATGCAGGTGGTACCATCCATGACGACGTGTTGGAACATTTACTTGACAGGTGTTAGGCTACTGGTCCTCTTAGAACGCTTGTAACCTCTTATTAACCCTTGTAACAGCCCTATGAGGGAGTGGAGGCTCTGCCAGGGGGCTTTGAAGGCAGCTCTGATCCGTACTTCCGCCCTCCCTACCCACCTAACTGGCTCCACTCAACCTTCCCAGGGCCCTGGCTGGGCACCATTTCCGAGGCAGCTGAACCCAGCAGGAGCCACTGGTGCCCAGAGAATCCTGCCCCCACCTGCAGTTGGTCCTCCTGTAAGTGGGGTCCCGTGGCTTCCTGCTGCTGCGACTGACCTGGGGCCTGTGGCCTCAAACACCAGCGCTGGCGGCTTCTGCCAGGGTTCCCTCACCCATCCCAGCCCCAGACGCCGTCTCTCTGGAGGAGCCCTTACGGCGGGGCTGCCCTGTGCTGCCCCCTCCAGGGGAAGCCTGGACACCTTTGAGGCCGGGCTCTCTGGGGCAGGCCCCACCTCACTGGCCTTGGGCCCTGTCTGACCTCCAGGCTCTGTTCCTTGGCATCAGCCTCTACTTTCTTCACGTCACAGCAGGTGGTTCGTGTGGAACTTACACCTGTGTCTACTGCCCCCCGCCCTCCCACGGGGCCCACTGGGCCTGGCACATTCGCCTCTGGGTTCTCAGTACACAGAACCACATCTGGTGCGCCACTGGCACTCTGGGGGTACCCACACGCAGGAAGGAACAGGCAACTTTAGCCATGCACAGGCCATGAGCCCCTGGAGCCCGCACTGAGGGTTTCCAGGCTCGCTGTCACTCACCTGGAGGAGCAGGGGGCAGAGAGGGGCAGAGAGGAGCAGAGGCAACAGCGCCCAGAGCACCGGGTCCCACCCTTCCCTCCTGGCTCACTGACTCCACAGGACCGTGGTGAGGTGTGGAAAGGCCCAGGCGGGGGCGGGGGAGGGGGCCACAGCAGGAATGTGGGGTGGCGAGAGCTGGGGGGCTGCAGGGAAGGAGCCCCAGTCTCCGGGGGACCCGGATCAGAGGCCTGGAGGCTCAGTGAGCAGGCGCGACACCTACCGGAACTCAGCACGTAGCTTGCCCCACCGTCTGTGTCAGCGTGCCTGGCAGCCATCCAGCCAGGCCAAGGGTGGGGGTAACCCACCTATTATCACCACAGTCCTTTTATCTGACCACCAGAGGCTCCCAACCTCATGATACACGTGGGTATTATGAAAAAGATGGTCACAAAATGCAGGTGCTTTGGGGCTTCTCCCACATAGAATTCAGCTACAACCCCAGAGGCTGGAGGTCTGGTGCCCTGCTGCTGACCACTGGCCAGAACAGCCCAGGAAGGGGTCTCTGGAAGGCGTCTGCTGTCCTGAGTGCTGGCGGGGGCTGGCAGCCTAGTGAGCTGGGCTGCGGCCCCCAGCACCCGGCCACCTCCATGTGACCTGAGGCAGGAGGAGATGGAGAGGTGCTGGGGACCGAGGGACAGCATGGAACACTGACTCTGGCTGCTCCCCCATTCTGTCTGACCATCCTCGGGCAGGGCTGGCACGGGGGTCACTGCCAAGCAGCCAGGCATGGCTGGACCGCGTCCGGGAGACGCTTAATATTCATCTTGTGAGAACCAGAGCCTTCCCACTACCTGGGCGGACACAGCTGATTTATGCAGGATGCAGGAGGGAATCTTCAGACCAGCTAAGCTTGGTGTGACTGAAGGGTGGGCGCCTGCATCTTCTAAAAAGTTGTCAGACCAGGCTGACACTGGTTGCCCAGGGACAGGGACACAGCTGCTCCCCAGGGGGCTGTGGGGAGAGAAAGGTGGTTCAGGTTGGGGAGACAGGTCAGAGGTCACATTCAGCCGTCTTTCCCCAGGCTGGCTTCTCGTCACACTCCGAACCGAGGCCTGGATGATGAGCCTCCTCCTCCCTGCCTGGGGGATGGGCAAGCCTTTGGTCTCATGTACCTGCTTTGCAGCTACTCCCCTGGCCCCAGCTCCTCATGGAGCGCGTGGTGGGCGGGGCCTCCTGGCGCCTGGCCCCAGGCCACGCCTCAGAACACACAGCCCACCTGCTGCTCTCGGAAGATGGGGGCTGCTGAGGCCCCAGGCCCAGGCATTCCGACTGCTGCTCTCCTCCACGGGCTGACCTTTCAGGCAGGTCAACTGTTCCAGCTCCACACCAGCCCCCTTCCCTTCCACCACTGAGGGGCTGCTGGGTGGGGGCTCCCACGTGCCTCAAGCAGTGACTCTCGGGGAGCCTGGTGTGAAGATTCCAGACCGGAAAAGGCTGTACTCTGAGACCAGGGCACCTGAGCTGCCACGGAGATGAGAGCTGACACCAGCACCTGACCTGTGGCCCAGCTCCTGAGCCGTGGGCCAAGGCCTCCACACTGAGCCTCAGTGTTGCCATCTGAAAAATGGGGATGATGTGCTGATGTGCATGAGGAAGTGCCCAGCACCTGATAAACAAGTGCATCTGGGGTGGCTCACAGGACTCACTGACTCAGACTCAGCCTCTGAAAATGGAGATGCAACTTTGCTCCACCCAGGGTTGTGGATTCGATGCCATGAGCTCACGGAGAGCCTGACACCGGGGCCTTGGACAGGATGGCTGCGTCCTCCCTGCAGGCTCAGTGCCCCGCCACACCCACACCTGTTCTGTCTCTGGGATCACAGAACTCCAGCTGCTGGGCAGGGGCTGGCCTGAGGATGCAGACAGTAATGGGGCCGCCTGGCAGCAAACGAGTGGCGGAGCCTGTGCTGGTGCGAGGTGTGGCGGGGTGCCCAGTCCTGCCACGGCACCTACCCCATCTGCAGATGTCGGTCTCGTGGGCGGCCCTCAGCCCAGCCCAGCCCAGCCCAGCCGAGCCCCTGCCCCTGGTGAGGCCAAGTAGCTTCCTGCTGGAGACTGAACACTTCTAGTAGGGTGCTCTTCTACCTTTATTGGGGATACGAAAGGCACCTCTCCCAGTCAAGAGGATCAACTGACAGGTGGGGGCCCAGTGCCCAGCGGAGCCCTGCAAGGGAGGAACAGAAGAAGGAGGGCAAGGCAGTGGAGGTCACAGGGGTCCCAGGAGCCACAGGCATTGCCGGAAGTCCCCTGGCGGCCTGGGGCTGGTGAGGTCTCCCCCCATCACATGCAGCTTATCTGGACAGTGCGCTCTCAGTAGAGAGCCACAGGCCCTGCCTTCAGCAGCTGGCCAACCCTTCAGGCTCCAAGGCAGGCACTGGGGAATGGGCCTGAAGCTGCGACAGACTTCTGCTGTCTCTAGCCTCTGGCCAGGCTTCGACAGGCCATGTGGGCTCTGAAGAGGGCTCCTCTGGGGGCGGGTCCTGGGAGGGGATCACCCAGGACAAGGGGAGTCACGTTGGGCCACCAAGCGACCAGCCTCTCCAGCCCGGGGCCTTCCTGTCCTCAGCAAAGTCGCAGTGGTTGGTGGGGGTGGGAGGGGAGGCATGAGTGTCCAGGGCCCCAAAGTAGAACTGACTCACTCCCCTAGTTCATCCAGCTGCCTCCCACACTCCCAGGCAGCACGGCCCCAACCTCAAGGTGAAGAGAAGGACGCATGTGACAAGCCACCCCCAAGCAGCCTTAACACCAAAGGAGGGACAGGCCCCCGCCACGGGATGTGGGAGCAGCCGGGGCTCGGGCAGCAGGGCGCCAGGCCCCACACTCATAAGGCAAACAGCATGTCGTCGTCTTTCTCCTGGGTCTTCTTTCTCGGGGCACTGCCAGGTGGGGGGCCTGGGGGCCCCTCGGTGGAGGGACTGGAGAGGTTGGGCAAACGATCGGCCACTTTGGCACGTTCTTCCAGGAACTTGTCGAATTCTAGAGCAACGAGAGGGAGGTTGGGGCTGGGCTCTGAGGCCAGAGCTGGGGAAGGGTGGGCAGGGCCAGGGTCTACTACCTTCACTGGTGACGCCTTTGGGCTCCTCCACGTCATTCCCCTGACAAGGCAGAAGGAGGGAGGTTAGCTGCGGGCACGGCGGGGCATGGCTCAGCTGCTGACCCAGAGGGTCCAGACCTCGGCCCCACCACTTTCTGAGCCACAGGGCCTTGGGTGTCACTTGACTCCTCCGAGCCTCAATTCTCTGCCTGGGGACACTCATGGCGTTGTTGGCAAGCTAAAGCAGAGGACTTCTGGAAAAGTGCCAGATGCAGGGTGTGGTGCCCTTGAGGGCACTAGTTCCTGCCCTTCCAGTGTCCAAAGGGATGGGAAGACTTGCCCATAGTGGAGAGGCTGACACCCAAGCCTGTGTCAGCTACACATGCTTAATGAGGGGCCGGGCAGGGGGTGAGCCTTCACCCACGAGGCAGAACGGATGGACCCTGGGCAGAAAGACGGTCTCGGCCACTTGCAGAAGGCGGCCTTGGAGCCAGGAAGTGCCCAGGCACTTGGTCCTTGGGTGCTCAGAATAGGGGGTGGGCTGGCAGAGGCTGGGGAAGAAACCTGGAAGGGGGCCTGGACTGACTGCCCCTCCTGCACACTGGGGACTCTGGAGGAGGCCGGGCCCCCATCTCCTGGCACAGCACCCCTGACAGCTGCCCATCAGTCTCCGCTCTGCATAGTGCGGCTCCCTCTGGGCACCACTCCCTGAGCTACCGCAGGTGCTGAGCTCAGACCTCTCACATCCCTGCTGCCCTCGGCTGGCCTGTCTTGCCCACAGTGGGCCTTCATGTGGGCAGCAGGCTCGGGCAAGGGGAGGCCCCAGAGGCTTCGAGGAGTGCGCTGGGCCCCCCTCTAAGGCGAAGTACTGGGGAAGCGGCAGGGGAGAGGACACTAACCCTGCTCCCCTGCCCCCCTCCACCGGTCACTTCCTCATGGGAAAATGGGGGCCCCAGGTGAGGTGGGGAGGAGCGGGCCCCACTCACCACGTCTGTGGACAGCCACTTCTCGATGTCCTCCATGAGGCAGGCCTGGGTGACAGGGATCTGGAGGGGAGGGCAGGGGTGAGGCGGGAGGGCAGGGCCCCTCACCAGCTCTGGCCCCGGGGGAGGCACCCAGCCCGAGCCCCTCACTCCTGGGACAGGGCCAGTTGACCTGCCCGGCCCCCTCAGGGCAGTCCCTCCAAGACGGCTCCGGCCCAGCTCCCTGGGACTCTGAGGTCTCCCTGAGTTCTGCCCGTTGTGCCAGCCTGTGGGCGAGGGGGATGCGGGCCAGCAGGCCAAGCAGGGGATGGACAGGGACTCCTAACAGCTGACACGAGATTATTCTAAGCCCAGGAAGTGGGCAGCCAGCCAGCAAGGCTGGGGCAGGGGCATGGTTGCGGGTTGTCCCCACAAGCCTCCGCAGACTCAGAGTTCCTGGTGGAAGTGGGCAGAGGAGGGCCAGTGAGGAGGCAGGGGCCGAGACGACCAGAGGAGGCCAGGCTAGTGGATCCAGAGGCGATGTGTCACTGTGACTGCCACACAGCCCTGCACAGGGCGGGGCTGAGGGCTGGTGTGGGGTCTTCCCCCTTGAAAAACGTCTGAAGAATCCAGAGGTTATGGGCCAGACTCTGGAGTCAGAGAGACCGGAAGCCGGCTGGGCCCCTGCACTTGGAGCAGGTGACTTAGCTCCTCTCACCCTCACGGCTGTCTGCCGTTAGACAGGATGACAGTACCTACCGTCCAAGTCCAGGTCGCTGTGAGGATTAAAGGGACGAGGGAGGTAAAGAGGGCAGCACCGCGCCCGGCACAGGGCACGCTCGGGAAATGTGAGCTACCACTCAGCTACTCTGAGAAACAGGGAGAGCGAGTCCTTCTCCAACCAAAGCCAGCCCAGGCCCCAAGCTCCGTCCTCAGCACCGAGACCCCGGAGGGGGCGGGGGCACCAGAGAAGCGGCAGAGCTGACTTCCCAGCAGCACCAGCAGCAGCAGCAAGTTCTCTGGGCTGCACCCTCCAGCTCCCTCTGCCGGCACTCGGCCCAGACCCAGATGCGCCCCGGGCACCCCCCAGCTGCCAGAGGCACTGCCCAGGCCTAGCTCCGAGGCAGCACCAAGGGGCCATGGAAGCAACAGCAGAGGGAGCGGGACCGTGCTGGGCGCCGGGTGGGGCCCGCAGGCCCTCGGCCGACCCCACGCTCCTCTTGTGATGCCGGCACCACCTGGGCAGGCCCCCTGAGAGCGCGCCTGGCCCCTCCTCACCATGCCTTGTCTCACCATCCAGTCACTGAGGCTCTTCTCACTGCCGCCTCCCATCTGGGTGAGAGAGGGTTGCGCTGAGGGTGGTGGGGAGGCTAGGCCACTGGTGTACTGGCAGCCTCTTCCAGCACAGGCCTGCTACTGCCTCAAGAGCCTGTATATGTATGTATGTGTGTATGTGTGTATGTGTGTATGTATGTATGTATGTATGTGTATGTGTGTGTGTGTGTGTGTGTGTGTGTGTACACGCCCATGTTTGTGTAGATGTGGTGGCTGGGCAAAGGGAACAGGAAAGGTGTCTCCCCGTGGGGACCCCAGAGTCCTGGACGAGTGGGGCAAAGCCTCCCTCCCTACTTTCACCCCACAGGTCCCGGAGGGTGTGCTGAGCAATCCTAGGATGGAGTAGGCAGCCCCCCACTGGCTCTCAGGGGTTTCTGACGGGCACCCAGTGTCAGGAGCACTGCTGTACCTGTTTCCCCTCATGTTTGTCAATGGGCAAACAGGAGATGCCCAGGACCCCAGAGAAGACGGATGGTGGAGGAAGCCTAGGGTCCTGGCTCCTGGCCCATCACCCCGTGATCGTCTTCCCAAGTCAGACAAACCCAGCCTGGGGCCTGGCACAGACCATCCAGCATCCTCACCTCCCAGGACTCATCAACCCCTGGGGGCAAACACCAGCCGATCACCTATAGGGTTCGCACTTGATTCTTTTCTGTACTTCGCTGCCTGTTTTGACATGTTTTGTCAAATCATGTTTTGACAGCTGAGAGGGAGAAAGCCTTAGCCCTCAGCCAGATCTGAGCATCTCAGGAGCAGATGTTTATGACCTGATTCATGATTTCCTTTGGAGGAAGTTATAACCTGATTGGTGGAACTCACTTAAATCTCTCAAGTCATCAAAGATGAACTTGTCAGCATCTGCTTTTCTGTAGGCAGAGGTGTGTGCGTTTCCGCCCCAAGGCTGATGGCAGGTGGGGCAGCAGCCAGGAGACCTCGTCCCAGTGCTCGTCAAGTCCCTGAGCTGCTCTGTGCCCCTAGCAGGTGACATCTGTCCCCCATCACCCCAGTTCTACAACAGGAAGGCACAGTGCTGTGAGGTCAGTCTCTGCCCACGGGAGGCCAGGTGGCGGGGGAGGGAAGTGCTCCCCAACTGTCCGGACTCATCTGGATTCTTGGAGCCAGAGTGATGGCCCATGGAAAAGGAAGGTTGAGCATTGGAGCAACCCTGCTCCGTGGAGTTCTGCAAGTCGTCTGGGGCTCTCATTGCCAGCGCCGGTTTCCATGCTGGACAGACCAACGGCTGTGAGAGCGTGGGCGAGCGACCTTAATTCTAAGCCCCGGTGTCTCCTCTGTAAGTGAGGACAACCACACTGCAGTGCTGAAGTTAAAACGTTTCACTGCATGCCAGGCACTGTGCGGAGGATGTGAGATCTGTGGTTTCACTCACCCCTCTCTGAGGCCTGGCTTTCTCATCTGCAAAGGGGACACCTTCAGAGTTTGTGTGATGACTTAGTAGGTGGAGGACACAGAATGCTCACTCAGCAGGGGACACAGGGTGCAGGTGGGAGGTTCTGAGACTCGGGGCACTCCGCGTGGTGGCAGATCTACAACACACCTAAGGGGGCATCTGAGCCACTCACTGGTCCTGCCCTGTTCTGACTTGGCAATGACTCCTGGGACACTGGGGATGCATCTGGGAACCCCACCTGCATCTCCTGCGCCCCCCTGCCCACTCCAGAGGACAGGACACAGCCTCCTGACTGCTCTCCCAGCTTCCAGGCTGGGTCCTCCTAAAATGAAGCCAGATAAACGTCCCCCTTTCAACCCTTGCTCCAGACTGCCCAGGGCTCCCACCTCAGGCAGGAGAAGCCAGTCCTCCCAGTTGCCCCTCAGGCTTCACCTCCCAGGGCCCAGTCCCACCTGCACTCTGAAGCCCTGTGCTGTGACCAACCCCCTCCTTGGCCCCACTGTTCACTGCACCTGCCTCTCTGGTACCCAGGTCCTGAATGTCCTAACCACCTTTCTCTGCCTGAAAGGCATCCAGAAACAGATTCAAAGGCACAGAAGCTATCCTCGGAGCTCCTGACAAGGGGGCAAGTGGCTGGCAGAGTGTGCTCACTGTGGCAAGTGACTTTCACGACACACACGCCAGCAGTTACATGGAATAAAAGCGGTGTCTTTGGGCGCCTCCCTGTGGTTTCAGGGTCTGTCCTCCAGCCCCTCTCTGTCCACATGCCTGCAGATAACAGGTCTCTAGAGGGGCAGCGAGGCTGAATACTAGCTTAGATCCAAGTCAGTGCCAAGCCCCTCCCATGCACTCTCTCATGCCTCCTGTCATAAACCAAGGGCACCACCAGGCAAGCACTGCCCAGCCTTCCTCTGGACAGGCCCCAGGGTGGCCGCAGGGCCCCGCTGCTTACCGCTCCAGTGCTCTGCTGCCGGGCATCCAGGGCTCCAGCCAGGCCATCTGTTGCTTGAGGGGCTTCATATTTTACCCTGAAATACAGAGGCCACGGTGGCCATTACCTGCCACCCTCACTGTACCAGACATGCCAGCCAACGTGAGGAGGGAGGGGGTTGGGTGGGCAAGGGCTGGACCCACATCCTCTGTGGACTTGGGAGGTGCCTAGGCAGGGGTCCCCGGAGGGGCACCAATCTGCAGGCCTGCCTGGGGATGGAGGAAAGAGTCTCCTTTCCTGCCTTTGGAACCTGGGAACATGTGACCTGCATGACAGGCAGAGCAAGGCTGGAGAAGCAAGGGAAGGTGTTGGGGGTCAGAGACCAAGATCACCAACCTCCTATTCCTGAATCTGGCCGCACTACAGGGATGAGCACAGCGTCCCAGACCCCATGGTCATGGAGAGATCGTATCTAGACCCTCTCCAGAGCAGCCCCCACTGCATAATTTCAGAATCTGTGGTTCTGTGAAGGCTGCATGTGAATGGGGGAACCCCACTCTGCAGCTGAAAACAAACCTGCAGACAGTGGGTGAGGATTCTGCATGTACTCGGGGGTGCCAGCCGCGGTGACTGGGAGGAAATGCAGAGGACACTGTACCCTCAGTGGGTACAGTGGGCAGAGGAGGATGGGGAGGGAGGTGTCTGCTGTGTCTCCAGTGAAGGCTCAGGGGGAGCGGGAGGAAAGTCCGTGCTAACAAGGGGGCTGGTGTCTCTCTGGCTGCTACAGGGAGGGCATCCAGGGAGGCCTTGGGGACGTGGCCCTGCTGCTTGGGAAGAGCTGTCATTCTTGCCCTGAACTGCCGGCAGAGAGAAGGTGAGACTGGGTCAGTCTTTTTTTCTTCTGGTGGTCATGCCGTGATATGTGGGATCTAGTTTCCTGACAACGCATCGAACCTGTGCCCTCTGCATTGGAAGTGTGGAGTCAATCACTGGACCATCAGGAAGTCCCTGGGTCACATGAGACTCTTGGGATTCCAGCCTCAAAGGAAGGCCCTGTGCCGTTAGGGAGGAGGGGTCTTCCTCCAGACGGGGCGGGTGGGGAGCACCTCACACTCTGCTGGAGCTGGGCTGGGCCAGCGCAAGCACAGCACACGTAGCTCTGATAGTGCCAACCTGCCTCCCTGGGGACTGGGTAGGCTGGCACTTAAAGGGGCCTCTAGAATAAACCCCCAAATTCTCAGGCAGACTCTCTGAAGAATGGAGGTAACCAGGAGGGCGTGGGAATCGACGAGTTAACCCTGTCACACGGCTCACCACACAAGGGGGCTGGGGCCAACCAGAAAACTGGGTGTCTCACGCTACCCCTGCCTCTGACCCTTTGCATGAGCTGATCCACAGCCTAGCACTGCATGCAGTGATCCACAGGCAGGCTACCTCCCACCCCCAAGAGACTGCAGGCTCTTGAAAGCAAGCTCAGGGTGCTTTTCTCTGGCCTTCAGGGCCCCCCAGAGTAGGGACAGTACAGCGGCAAACCTCAGCCAGGCCGGGGCTCTCAGGCAGGCCGCCCTTCTGGTGGCAAGTCCCACCAGACTCATTAGCCTCCAGTCACACAGCAGCCTCACCACGCCCCTACCTCCAAGGTGACAGTGAGCCGCTGGGCCCAGAGCACCTAGGCTTGGGAAGACAGACCCCGCCCCAGACTCCCGGTTCGGCTCACAGTGCAGGGCTGGTCGGCCAGGGGGTGGGGCTGTGAGCAGCCCTATGAGCCAAGCTGGCTACAGCCCGTCAGGTTTCTCTGGCCAGTGTGGATGGGGGGCCCCGGGCCCTCTGGAGGCCCCTCAACAGTCCCCAAGGGGGCCAGAATGGAGCCTGCCGAGAGGTCCCCTTAGTCCATCCTGGTTGCCCCGGGGTTACAAGCAAAAGGCTGATAACAGCCCCAAGCAAACCCTGTCCTCTGACCAGCCTGTATGGAGCCGGTCCTGGGAAGCTGGCCTAGTGGACACTTGGCCACGTGGCCTCCGCTGCCAAAAAGCATCTCCCTGAAAATGGACAGTCCTGGGAAGCATAGAGCCCCAGCTCGAGGGCAGGGTAGGCAGACTTGAGTGGGATAATGCAACTTCTCTGGAAATTAAGGCTGGTTACAGAACAGCAGAAAGCACTGGACGAGCCCTGAGGGCTTGGTACACGGTGTACAGTGCAGTGGGGAGCTGGGCTGGGTTGGAGACGCTGTTTCAGAACCAGACAGTCTGGGGTTCCCAACGCTGTCAAACATCAGCAGACTCAGCTGGGGCAAATGACTAGCCGCTCAGAGCCGCTGTTTCCTCATCTGCTCGGCTTGTGTGAGATTCTGGGACCAAGCTGGTCATCACCCGACGGGCATCCCTCCCTCACCCACCCCAGGCTGTGTAGGGCTAACTTGGGGGGAAGAACTCTGCCATCCTGAAGGGGTGCAGGTGGGGCTGGTGTGCCCACCCACACAGCGAACTCAGGACCTGGAGAGAGGCCCCCGCTGACAGCAGGTGACCCAAACCGCAGGGGCCCAGGGTGGGCTTCAGCACTTACTCTTTGCGTTGGTCAGCCAGTGAGCTGCCCCGTGTTAGCGCAAACATGTCAAACTCGTCTTCCAGCCGGCCAGAGGCCTCCAGAGACTGCAGGCCAGCCCTCACGCTGCTGGAGCCCAGGTCTGTGGGGACAGAAAGACCGCATGAAGGGTCTGCCTGGCTGTCCGTGGACACTGAGTTGTGGCTGAGCTGCTTCCTGCCAGGCCCAGGTTGGTTCTGGAGAAGCTGGGCAACTTGGAGTGGGGGCAGGGTGGGGCATACGGATGGGACAGGCCACCTGCTGGCTGAGGGACACCGGGCACCTCACCTTCTCTCTCTGTTACTTCTGAGCAGGCAGCCGATAACAGATTAAGTGACAGTGCTGATGGCTGACGTGTACCAGGAGCCCATCCTGGGCCTGGCCTGGTCTAAGCCCGCTCTGTACATAAGCTTATTCAGGAGAAAAGGGGCACAGGGTGTCCACGTGACGTTTCCAAGTTCACCAGATGATCCACGGGCAATCACACAACAGTGGGGTTTCTCAGATCTAAGCAGGCTCAGCAGCTGTGGGGCTGTGAGGGAGAGTCCCCCATGATTTGTCCCAGCTGTGCAGCAAGATTTAGCAGGGGACCCAGGGGAAGTGGGGGCTGACACTCTGCTGCGGGCACTCCAGCTCCAGCTGTGTAATGAGAGGGCACCCCAAGAGCTTCAGGGGTGCCCATGCTATGTGATGTGCCCCGGCCAGAGCCCCCAGCGCCGCACTTACTCATTTCTGCCAGCTGGGACGAGAGGCTGCCGGCGGCTACAGGGTCAGGGCCCATGTCGATCAGGTCAGGGGCCGCCTCGGCCTCACCTGGGGCCTGTGGGGAGGGGAGAGGCCACCGTCACCCTCTGGCCAGAGCTGCAGCCTCATTCCCTTCTTCCCTGAAGCACTGGCACCCGCATTCTTTGCCTGAGGGTGGGTCATTAGGCTCCCTCCTCCCCTCCTCACCCCCAGCAGCTATGACTGGGAGTCAGGGAGTCTTTCTTCCTCCCCTTGGCCTATAGCTCAGCTGGACCTGCTGGGAGGTTCACAAGGCCCTGGGGCATCAGCTGCTGGCAGAACCTTGTTTACCCTAAAGGGACAGGGACAAAAACACTTAGAAGGAGCCTCCTCTAAGAGCCTGGCTAAAAAGACACATTCTAGCCAGGATACCGGGGGAGGGAGGTGGGCGCAGCCCTTCCTGTCATAAATATGGAGAAGCTGCCTCTTACCTTGGTGGTCTGGCCTGTTCGGAGGCGTTCAAACCTATGGGACAGAAAAGACCTGGGTCAAGGAGACAGACTAAGAGGGTCCTCAGCACAGCCAGGCCAGAGCTTTGCCCACTGCAGGTCTCGAAAACCCACGAAATGGGTCACAAACAGGGTGATGACTGGTCAGGTTTGCCCTGGACGATCCAGTTTATGCTCTAGGGGAGTATTAGCAGGGTGCCTCTTTCACTAGCAAGTGTCCCAATTAGATGACCAATTATCTAGTTACCTTAGCTACAACCAGCATTAAACAAACAACAGGCACAGACTAGAGAGGAAAAGGAAAAGGTGTGCATGCACATAGCAAAGGTGTGGATTTTTTTGGACCTTGTTTGGTAACATACTTCTGTGCATGTGGTAAGTGTCTAAAGTGGTGTTAAGGAGGACACGTATCTCTTACACTACTTCACGGAGACACTTAAACCACCCTAGACAGGCCAAGTTGCTGCTGGGTGGGCTAAAGACCTCGGTCTGGGATCGGCTAGTGTCCTGGTTCTGTCCCTCACTGTGTGACCCCAGCTTAATTACATCACCTCTGAACAATTAACAAGGGGGTGACAGTGCAACCTGCCTCCCAGGTGTGAGGATCAAGCAAAGACACTGAGGAGTGATTATAAACCAGAAACAACCAAATATGAGGTCCGATGAGTGGGTGTCAGAGGGGTCCTGGTCACCTTGAGATTGGGCCCATGGGCCACCCCCAGCCCACACCCCTAGTGGCAGGGGCTCTTGGCTCCACTGGTCTAATGAGCAGAAAAGGCTGGGCGGATGTTATCTGTTGCAGCCCCATCCCCTTCGCCTGATTCAGAATCACTGAGCAAGTGTCTGCGGATGGATAAACATATGAAATGAACTGGGAGCCGGAGGCAGCAGGCATAATTAGCAGCCTGTGCAGTCAGCCTGCCTGCCGAGGCCCTTACAGGAATAACTGCACGGCCTGTCGGGTACCTACAAGGGATCATAGCTTCGCTGTACAGACAGGAGAGTGGCGGTGTGCCGTCTCTGCAGGCCCAGCCCCTACATGCTCCTCTGGGGAACAGCTTCCCATTTCCCACGACCCTGATGAGACTGCCAGGATCAAGGGGGCCTCTCCCCTCCCACTCCTGTGGGCACGAGGAAGCTGAGCCAATCGGAGTGCCTCCCGGGGTGCTGACTCTTAGACAGAATGATACCCCCCAAGTGGGCAAGTGTTTGGAGCCCATGTATTCAGGGTGACACCCTGGGATCACGGTCCAGGCATTATTGTCCCAAAACCCTTGAGCCACCCTGGCATCTGCCCTTCTGCCCCCTTGGGAGGGCTCACTGTTGTATTCTTCTCTGGGCTCTGAAAGCTACCCATTCAACAAAGGCTGTTCTCCTAATGACTCTTCTGCTTAAGTTAGCCAGAAGCGCTTACCGAGTTTGCAATCAAGGAGCCCTAATTAAGTCGTCACTTGTCCAAGGCCCCAGAGCCAGGCAGTTGGGGGCAGGGTGGGGGTGGGGGCGCAGGGGCGGCACAGGCCTGTTTGGCTGTGGGCGCACGCGCTCAGCCACTGCTGACGCCAGCCTGGAGGCGGGATGCAGGCACAGAGGTGACAGGAGAGGAGGGGCTGGGGGAGGGTGGGCACTGTGGCCTGCGCTGGATGAAAACAGTTGAGAGTGTGCTCTGGGTGGCTGGCCTGGTGTTTGAGGGAGATGAAAGGTCAGAGGGTGTGAACAGAGGAGAGGGTGGGTTGGCGGGCCAGACGCGGGGCTACCGTTCGTGGCGCAGGAAGACGTTGTTGAGATTGTCATTGACGATGAGCAGCTCCTCGGTAAGCTGCTCGTTGGCAATGCGGGGGATGAGCTCCAGGACCCGCTGCTGCATTGCGCGGCACGTCCGGTTGAGCTCCTACCAGGGAAGGAAGAGAGACAACCATGGCCATGCGGAGCGAGGCCATCCCTTCCGGACGCCCAGCCCTGGGCGCGCCATGGAGAAGCAGCGGTCCCCGCACTGGACTTGAGGCTGCAGGGAACAGCTTTTGGGGCTCTACAGACGAGCACCGGCGTCTCATTTCTAAATGGGGAGCACATGGGACGAGACAAACGGGAGCTGTGCTGTGGGTTTAACCTGGCTCTGTCGACAGAGCTCCTGCCACCACCTCCAAATGGGGAGAGGTCGAGCTGGTGAGGTGGCAAGGGGTCGAGCTGGTGAGCTGGAACACCTGCCACTTCTCAGGGGGCACTCAGGTTTTTTGTGACCAAAGCATAAAAAATGAACTGGATGATCCAACTATTATCCACAAACCCCGATTCTGAACTTCTGCCTCATTACTCTCATTTATTTTTTTAATGCCTTTTATTTTGGAATAATTTTAAATATGCAGAAAAGTTCCCAAGGCGAGAGAGCACAGGGGTTCCTGTAAACCCTTCACCCAGCCTCTCCTTACCTTAGTTCTGTCAAACTTAGTGTTGTCAAAACTAAGACCTTAACATGAGTACACTGCTATTAACTAAACTACAGGCTTGACTCAGGTTTCACTAGCTTTTCCACTAATGTCCTTTTCCCCTCTGTTCCATAGTCCCACACTGCATTTAGTCACCAGGTCACTGACTGACTTTTAATCAGTTAGTGTTAGGTATTTAAGCTTGTTTGGGAAAAAGAAAAAAAAATTTAGAAGCTGCAGCAATCACAGGCTTTTCATTTGTAGGACTGAGCGCTTCCTTCCTCAGGGGCCCACCACCGGGTGGACGGGGACCCAGGTTAGAGTCTTGAGGTCTCAGCAAACAGCTGTTGGGCACTGTGGACTTAGCCACGAGCCAGACTTTCCTCCTGGCATCATGAAGACCACTGACTTTGGTTCTTTGAAGACCCTGTTGCCCCTCCCCAGCTTAGACCCTCTCCCGGAATTTCTTCCCCCCGCTGAGCGTGGGGCAGGGCAGCCCGGACTCCTTCCAGCATCCGATGGGCCTCCCCTCTCCTCCCCCCATGACGAAGTACACTGCGCCTTTGTCCCCACTTCCTCGCCTGCCCCTCTCAAGAGCGGAAGAGCAGCAATTGAAGCCAGGGCCCTGAGTTCATACCCCAGCTCTGCTGATGACCAGCTCTGTGACCCTGGGCATGTCCCATGATATCTCTTTGTCTCAGCAGTTTGCTGCCTGGGACATGGAGACAGTAAGAGCACCTACCTTATGGGAGGAAAGGGGAGGATTAAGTGAGTGAACCTGTATCACGTATCCACATCAGAACCTGGCACATGGGACATGCTCAGCACGTGTCAGTTGTTCGAGGGTCACCTGGGCCTGCCAGCCAGCCTCCCGAGGCCACAGAATCACTCACACCCGCATAGCCCTGGCATAAGACATCTGAAATTAACTGCACTACAGTAATCCTGTTGCTTCCCAACTCACTCAGGCTTTTGTCATTTACTCCTCATGTTTGTGGGTTCACTCAATGCTGAGACTCCGACTGCACTCCTCCCCCCGGCTCCTGCACTAAGGTAAGGGCCATACAACTCAGCTGGGCCCGGGGACAGAGAGATGACCCAGCTCTGCCCACCAGAAATGTGAGGGTCCAGCAGGAAAGTCACCAAGTGAGTTGATCACATCAAGCCCTCTGTCCCCTCACAGGTTCAGGTGACTCCTGGGCCTCAGGGGTCCCCAGGGATGACCTCCATGGGGAGGGTGCCTTTTCCCACATACAGCCCCTTCATGCCCAGCTGAGGGTGGGACCCTGGGGATATCACCTGACATACGGGAGCCCTGGCCTGTAGATCCCAGCTCACGCCTGCCTGCTAGGCTTCCTCTCCTGATGGATGGAAACCTCACCTTCCAGCCTTCCTTAAGACACTGTTTGGGAGCTATTTGGAACCAGGCATAGGAAGGGGGGTTTACATGCAAAGCCTTATTTAATTCTCACGTGAAATGGGTGCCATAAAAGCAATCTTACATATGAGGAAACTGAGACAACAGGGGCTTTACTGTTCACACCATCAGTAGTAGAAGCTGAGTTCCAATCTGATGGAGCCCGAAGGCCCTGGTTTTAACCTCTCCCACTGTGACCCAGGAGCCCAGAGTCGCCATGGAAACTGCCTTGCGGGTGAGGAGCGGAGAGGCTGAGCCCACCACTCACCTGTAGTAGCTCCAGGTCCGCTGGCTCTGTCTGGGTGGGCACCAGCTCCGTCAGCATCTCTGACATCACCCTCACATTTCCGCTCACCATCTCCAGCTCGCTGCGAAGCTTCCCAATCTGGAACACACGGTCGGTCTTGCTGAGTGAGGCTAGGGTCCGGAGCTGCTGCCCCTCCCAGAGCCTGGCACCATTAGCCCAACCTGCCGACACGTTCTCCAGGCTCCTGGGCCACAGCCTTGTGCCAGGAGGCCTGAGGGGGGCTTGTTCCCACCCCCACCAACCCGCTTACAGAGGTGCTACCAACCGTTACCATCTCCACGCTGAGGTGCCCGGAGCAGGGAGAGGCCAGGAGGAAAGAAGCTGAGTGCTCCAGCATCTCATGGGTGCCAGCGCCTAACGAGGCCCTGAAGGGCAATTCCCCCGAGGGGAGAGGAGGGAGGCCGTCCTCCTAGGACGGGGTTCTGTCTTGCTCCGGCCTGCTCTGGTGTCCCAAATTCTACCGAGTGTTAAGTCCCAGTGCCACCCCCCCACCTGAATATGCACGTGAGAAGATTCTCAACAATCAGGGTCCCAGTCCTGGCTTGGGAAACAGCTGCACATTGAGTCGCAGAGTCTCAGCACCCAGGTGAGGTGATGGAAGGGCCCTGGTGGAGCATCTCACACCGTGGGCTCTGCAGGGTGTCTCGTGTCCTCATTGACAACGTGGACACTGTGAATGTCCAGGAAGGGACCCTTGTGGATGTTGCCAAACATGACCTGGTTTGTGAACCCTTTGATCAGGGGCTGTCTCATGAGTCTAAGATTTAGTGGCCTACATTTTGGGAAATGCTGGATGTATTCTTAATTGGGTGACCCAGTTGATTTCAGAATACAAGTGTTATCATATAAATTCACGGTGCCTGTGAAGGCAGTTGCCATTCTGATCACCTCTAAGTGATAAGCATTTATCGTATGTTGCTAGTTAACCCTGACCACAGTCTCATGAGACAGGTATCACTACTCCCACCCGTTATAGATGAAGAAGTGGGCCTGCAGACACAGTCTACAGCAGTCTGCCAGCACCTTCCAGACCTGTGAAATGTTTGGTACATCTGGCCTGTTTAATGAAGGCTCTTGGTAGAAGCAAGTGGAAAAACGACTGATCACAAACCCTGTATGTCTGGGTCAGATGGGACCTAATTACAAGGAGTCTGGGAGTTACATCAACATGTCACAAAAGACTGAAGGGCCTTCTGAAATTAAATAGACTACTCAGTCTTGTTTAGCAAAGACCTTCTTCCACTGGACATAATCAGTCTTAATCTACACAGAGGCCAGACTACAGGCAAACTGGTTAAAATTATAACCAGGCAAGATCAGTTTTGTCACCCTGCTTATTTAACTTATATGCAGAGTACATCATGAGAAATGATGGGCTGGATGAAGCACAAGGTAGAATCAAGATTGCTGGGAGAAATATCAATAACCTCAGATAAGCAGATGATACCATCCATATGGCAGAAAGCAAAGAAGAACTAAAGAGCCTCTTGATGAAAGTGAAAGAGGAGAGTGAAAAAGTTGGCTTAAAGCTCAACATTCAGAAAACTAAGATCATGGCATCTGGTCCCATCACTTCATGGCAAATAGATGGGGAAACAGTGGAAACAGTGGCTGACTTTATTTTTTGGGGCTCCAAAATCACTGCAAATGGTGACTGCAGCCATGAAATTAAAAGATGCTTGCTCCTTAGAAGAAAAGTTATGACCAACCTAGACAGCATATTAAAAAGCAGAGACATTACTTTGCTAACAAAGGTCCGTCTAGTCGAGGCTATGGTTTTTCCAGTGGTCATGTATGGATGTGACAGTTGGACTATAAAGAAAGCTGAGTTGAACTGTGGTGTTGGAGAAGACTCCTGAGAGTCTCTTGGACTGCAAGGAGATCCAACCAGTCCATCCGAAAGGAAATCAGTCCTGAATATTCATTAGAAGGACTGATGCTGAAGCTCAAATGCCATTACTTTGGCCACCTGATGTGAAGAATTAACTCATTTGAAAAGACCCTGATGCTGGGAAAGACTGAAGGCAGGAGGAGAAGGGGACGACATAGGATGGGATGGTTGGATAGCATCACTGACTCAATGGACATGAGTCTGAGTGGACTCCGGGAGTTGGTGATGGACAGGGAGGCCTGGTGTGCTGCAGTCCATGGGGTCGCAAAGAGTCGGACATGACTGAGCGACCGAACTGAACTGAGGTCAGTTTTGGATCACAGGGTGATTTTAAAACTTTTATGCACATTTTATTATTGGGCCTATTATTTATTAGGAAAACTTTTCTAGTAATATTTGTAACTCTGGGGATTGACTTCATAACTTGATAGAAGTACAGAATTAAATAGGTTTGGGTGTGAAGGCTATTGATAAGCTTATTTGTTTCTGAGGCTAAACAATACTGTAGACATTTGTAAAACACCTCAGAAGTGATACCCACGGTGCACAGGCCATGACCGACTCCCATCCACAACTAAACTGACCAAACACCCAGAGCTGCTGGACATGGCTGTGGATGTCCCTCACAGGACAGAATCAATGGCACTGGCCTCAGGGGCAGCAGGGACAAGCGGCACGGTCTGAAGAAGGAAATCCTGCAAAGTTACTTGTGGGGCGCCAGAAAACCCTGCCTAGGACTGGCCTCCAGGATCTTACGCCACACACAACCCCAATTTAGGGTGTGGGAAGTATCATGGTGTGAGATAAGGACTTAACATTTTTCTGTGCAGATGTTTGAGAACCATTATCTTAGTGAGAACCTCTATTCAAATGAAATCTTATGTGAGCACCTGAGCAAACCCTAGCAGGGAATGGAGCTGCGGTGGATGAGGGGCTGTCTGCTGAGTCTTTCCTCTTCCTGGCATTGCCCATAAGGCTCCACAAAGGGTACAGTCTGGAGAGGGGCCTGGGTGCAGGGCAGAGTCTGCCTGGAGTCACAGACTTGGGCTTGAATCCTGGCCCTGTCTTCACTGGGCTGTGTGGCTCTGGGCAAGTTAATTGACCTCTCTGAGCCTCATCTCCCAAATAGTGAGCCCCTGTGGGGCTGCCTGAGGACTGGGTGGAGTACTTCCACACTGACAGGGCCCCCTCCCTAATGTGCAGGGAGGTGCAGGGCCTACGGCCTGACCTGCATGGCTGCGACCCAGGTTTGATTACCTGCTCAGGGGTCGGCGTTATGGGTGTGTCGCTGGGGAGTAGGGCCGAGGTGGGCAGGGGTGTGGTGTGTTGGTTGGAGTCCCCTCGATGGCTGGTGTCAGTGCCCATGGAATTCTGTCCTGACTGTGTCTCTGAGTTGAACACGGTCTAGAAGGCAACAGGCTGAATCAGCAAGGCTGGAAGGTCAGGGCCCCCCAGGAAACAGCCGCAGAACCCCCCTGGGGTGACCCCTGCCACCCCTGCCACTGCCCCTCACCCTCTGGGGCGTGTGGATGGGCGACAGCATGTCCAGGTCAGTCATGGGGAACTCCAGGCCCTTCCTCCGCAGATCCTCGTAGACAGCCACCACACCAGTCAAGTCGGGCGAGCTGCGGAACGCGTCAGCCCAGGACTGAGGGGACAAAGGGACAGGGTTGACAACCACTGCTCAGTGGCTCCTCTGCAAGCCTGCCTGCCACCCCCAGGGAGCAGAAATTCCCTCCTGGACTTGCTGGTCCTTTGGCAGCATCATCCGGGCAGCCAGGCCTCTGCCAACCAGGCTCCCTCATTCAGAAGTCCTGTCTGCAGATGAGCAAGACAGCCCCAGTGAGAGAAACCGAAGTGGACAGACAAGCAGCAGCACTGAGGGGGGCGCCTTCCCCCGACCTGCCCCGGGCTGCCCGCACTCACCTGGATGAGGGTAAGCACCTTGTCGTGCACGATGGTGGGCGGGTTGTTTTTGGGCAGGATGGTCCTCACTAGCACACCCTCCACAAAGTCCTGGCTGGCCACCAGCACGTGGAAGCGGTGCCCACAGTTCTTGACGCAGGTTTCCAAGACCTGGATGCCGTGTGGTGCCCATGAGCACCCGGCAGAGGAGGGGGAGCACTCAGGACCCCACCCTCACCCCCAACCCATGCCCCAGCATAGAGACCCAGCAGAGGGTGCGGTTTTCTAAAGTGAGACCCAGAACATGGAGGAGCAGGGACGATGTTGGATTCAGGGGCTGGGTGGCTTGGGGGTGAGCCTGGGGTGGGCAGAGGGCTGAGTACTGGCTGGAGGTCCCAGGCTGAGTGGCCTTGGTGCCCACAGAATCCTGTCTTGAGGCCGTCTCTGAGCTGAACACAATCTAGAGGGAGGTGGCTCTCCAGGTGGAAAGCAGAGAACTTTCACTGAAATGGTGACCCTGTGGCCTGGGAAAAAGGTGTTCAACTTCCCTCCCCACTCCTGACTCCACTTCCTGGCAGGAGCTGCCTCTGACTTTCAGTTTAGTGGATTAATCCAGATGTAAGTACTGCTTGGGGGAGGCAGAGACAGCGCCCTCCCAACCCCACTCCCCAGCCAAACCCATCCTGACTGCCAGGCTGCCAGCTCATGTCTGTCCTGCCCTACTGTGGGCAAGGACTGGCCTTGGCCTCTGACACTTGCATTTTGTTCATTTTTCAGGGCCAATTAGTCCAAGTGTCGATGGGAACTCAGCTTGGGCACTGCCCCTCAGAGGCCTGTGTGCACTGAGCTTCTGTGTCACTGGGCAGGCCCTCTGCCCATGTGCTCCACGATGGGCCCTCCAGGGCCCCGCTGTGTCTGTTCTCCACACCAGCAGGCTGGAGAGAGCTTTTCCAAATAGCCTCTCTTGTCACTCTGTGTTGGCCAGCTGTGTAGACAGGCCAGTGCTTTGCCCATAGCCCCATAGCTTGGCCAGTAAAAAATCTGCCTGCAGTACAGGGAACCTACGTTCAATTCCTGGGTTGGGAAAATCCCTTGGAGAAGGAAATGGTAGCCCACTCTAGTATTCTTGCCTGGAGAATTCCACGGACAGAGGAGCCTGGCAGGCTACAGTGCATGGGGTCATAAAAGCTGGGCATGACTTAGTGACTAAACTGCCACCACCTGGAAGAGGGGCCCCAGGATGGCTGGGAGTCCCGCCAGGCCCCTGGTGGACTGTGGTCCCCCATGGATGGAGGGATGGGGCACTCACCGTGAGAGCTAACATCACCTCGTGGAAGTTCTTGTTCCCCACGATTCTCTTCTTCACGGCTCGGAAGGCATCTTTGGGACTGGGCAGACGGACAAAAGGAAGGATGGGTGGAGGATCACAACCTCCTTATCCAACAGGGAGGCTGCGTGCCTAACATCAGGAGGAGCTGGGAGATGGGAACGGCTCTCATTTACCTAGGGGGTGGGGGGTGGGTGGGTGTGGGAGCCAGGGAAGCCTCCTCCTTCTCCGAGGCCTGCAGCTGAGCGTGAAGGGTGGGATGGTGTCAGCTGCAAGGAGTGGGGGAAGTGGTTCAGGTAGTAGAGGCGGCAGTCTGGACCAGGCCCAAGCGGGGAGGAGGTGAAAGGCCACCACGTGTGGGGCAGGTGAGGGAGGGGCTAGCGAGGCCTGTGGTCACAGTGGGGAGGGGAGCGTGGCAGCTGCTCCCTCTGCTCCACCTGCAACCCCACAGCTGTCCCCACACCTCACCCCTGTGTCTCTGTCCCTCAGCCCTGCGCAGGGGAGATCCACACTGCCTGGGCTGCTCCGACCTAAAAGCCTCTGTGGCCCACAGCTTGCACACCTACTGAGTAAAAAAAGCCCAGCTGAAATCCTGCCGATTCATGACCCTTTCCCAGTCCTCATCTCCCAGCTGCATTTGCCCCCAGGTGCTGCCTGGCTAGAGAGGACGACCCCTAGAGGCCGGGGGTGGGCACAGCATTCTCCTCTGACACTTTGCCCTTCCAGAGCCCGGCGTGCTGCAGGAGCTCAAGCAACACTTCTAGGCTGGCGAGGGTGGGAGGGGGCTGTCAGTGCCAGATCCACCAAACGCCATGTAGGAGAGTCGGGAACCCTGACGGGGGCTCCCTGACAGGAGAGAAGGGGGCAGCCAAGGCTTCCTGGGAACAGACCTGCGTGGGGGGCGGTGGTGACATAGGTGACCCGGGGTGAAGGACCACACGGCCCCGGCCGGGGAGGGACCCTGCCCCTGGGGTGTGAGGGCAGTTCCCAACCCAATGCCCTGGGGCAGCTCCTCAGCCGCCCTTGGGGCTCCAGCCTGGGAGAAGCTGGTTTCTGTTCCTGGCTTGGCCGCTCACCTGTGGCCACGTCAGCGCTCTGAAGGGGCGAGTTTCCACTTCTTATCGAGTGAGCAGAGAAGGGGCGCAGCGCCGGGAACCAGCAGCTCTGGCCCGGGTCCTGCGGTTACGGGCCTGCGGGTCTAGTCCTAGTCTACGGGCCCGCGGGTTTAGTTCCCCGCCAGGGCACAAAGGGGACGACAAGAAGGCCGCAACCCAAGGTGGCAACAGACAAGAGACAAAGGCTTAGATGACAAGCTCAGTGAGGTCAAGGGTCACATCTGCCCCGCTCACTGCTGGATCCCCTGGGCCTTGCGCAGAGCCTGGAACTCAGGAGGTACTCACATCAACAGCAGCTGAACAAGTATGACCCCAGTTCCGCCAATGTGTACTGCGAGATGGGGACTAGCTTCTCTAAGGACATGGCAGTGATCTCCAGCCCCAAAATTCACCACCGGGCTCTGTGAGGTTTTCTGCCTCAGTCCTTTCTCTCGGTAGACCCGCCACCTGCCCACCCCTCTCCTCCACACTTAGAGGAGTCCAGATGCAGGCGGGTGTGTCCCCTCCCAGCACCTTGGCGAGCCCAGGGCCCATGGCCGGGGAAGTGGAAGGCTCTGGCAGCCACTGAGCGCTCCTGACTGGCCCTGACCGTGTGCCGCAGACGCCCACAGCCTTCTTGGCTCCGAGGTGGGTGCTGCCCATCTGCTCCCTCCACATGGTGAGGGAGCCCTCACAGGGCAACTGGACCACCACAGGGAGAAACAGGGGGGAGTGCTGAGAGCCTGCTACAACTGCCAAGCCTCATTTTCCAGACAGAGGCCTCCTCTGGTAGCTCCTCCGGTGGTGGTCATCACACCCCTCCCACCTCATCCCTGGTTTTTCCTGAGGACAGTAACCCTGTCCCCTTCTCTGTTCCCCTCAGGGCCTTGGACAGAAAACAGCTTTGTCTCTGAAGACAAAGACCTGGGGAGGTATACAGTGATTTGCCCAAAGGTCACACGCCCATGAGCAACGCTAGTCAGAGCCCAGGAGCTGGGACCACGACACCTCCCCCACACCACGTGCTTCCCTGGGACGCCCAGACCCTGAGCAGGAGGCTGTGCCCCACGCTCCAGACTGTGCCCCACGCTCCAGAAACACTAACTCTGCCCAGCCTCTCTCGGTTCCGCTGCACACTCACTGGCCCCCCTGTGATCCCGACCTTCCGTGCTGCTTTCAGATCTTAAGGAAACAAAAGTCTGTCCCTGCTTACAGGGGAAGCTAGGCATCCCTGATGTACAGTCCCGCCCATGGCATGCAGAGGGGGCTCGGGGCCACCTCCATATTCTAAGAGCCTCTGGCTGGCTTTGTCCTGTGAAGATGCCACGCAGGTGATGTCCCTGCAAGAGCAAGTTGGCTGTGCTGCGGCCACTGGGTGGGCAGCACCCAAGGGCCAGCTGGCTGGCTGCACACCCGGCATCTCTGGGCCTCTCACCCACCTGATGAGATGGTCAGACTAGATCACGGTTCTGAAATGTTTAAGATGAGCTGCAGTGGCCGCCCCTCCTGCCTCCCTCTCCCCCCACGGTCCTCACCCTTCCTCAGTCTCATTGATGATGTCACAGATCTCCATGTTGAGCGCCCAGTCCTCGCTCTGCAGGGAGCCATCCGTGGCTTTCTCTGAGGACAAGAAATCACAGGTCACAGAGGTGTGCGGGAGTCCCGGATGGACAAACTCAGACAGCGTGAGTGGGGAGGACAGCGCCTGCTCTCTGGGCACCGAGGTGGGCCAGCACCATGTATATGTTGTCACCTTCATCGTCCCATTTCGTCTCTTAATTCCTATAGCAGCCATGCGAGGCCAGGACGGACGGCCAGCTGAGTCTACCACGTGGGCAGCAGATGGATTCAGAGGCCTGGCCTCAACCTGCTTGTTTTTGACACGACAATATAGAGACAGGGTTTGGTTTTATGCTTGTAAATAAGTATTCTTTCTTGACTTTTTAATTATCTTTGGACTTGGAAACCCTTCTTAGGTTCACGGTGTACAAAGTTCCAAAAAGGCATCGAATGGAGAGTCAATCTACCTGCCTCCCCTGCCCCCAGCTCCCTTTTCCTCTCTCAGTTTCCTCTCAAATCTCCCAGCGATGTTCTTTACTTCCAGAGCCAAGGACACGGGGTTTTAAATCCTGACTCTGTTACCAAAAGGCCTGGCCATGGCCTCCGCCTTTGAGTCAGCTCATCTACAGACAGGTGGACACCGAGCTGCCCTGCAGAACCGCCAAGGGGAATCTGGTAATGCAAACCAGCATCGACAGGTACTTGGTGCCAAATGGGTGCTCGTGAGTGCTGATGGGTCTTTTTCTTTTTTTTTAACTTGAGGCAAAAGTCGCACAAAATAAAATTCACCATTTCAGTGGCATTTAGCATATTCACAAAGGTATACAACCACCCTGTCTGTCTGGATCTTAGGGTGAGGTCTCCAGGTAGCCGGCTACGAGATTCTCCAGGCCCAGTGAGGCCGTGTTTAGAGGGCCTTTGCTGTAAGATCTGCCAAGTGTGCTCTAGTGTGAGAGGTGCTGGGTGGACAGCGAACAGGAAGGGAAAATCCTAGGATGTTCAAAAACATTCTTCAAGAGTGAAGCGCCAACCTTGTGTCCCACTGCCTGTTTTCTCTGACCTTGTACCTTCTAGGTTCCATCCACACACAGACCTAGCTTTAAAAGAAGCTGCAGCAGAGCGCACATATCCTGCTCGTCTCAGGCGAGAGTCTGCCCTGCCCGTTATACCTGCGCGTCTGTCAAGCACGCGCACGAGTGTTAACCACTGGTTGGATCAGTGGCTAGGACACTAGTCAAGATCCCCCGTCATGGCTGAGTTCTCAGCTTGAAAGCCCTGCTCCAGGCCAGGAGCACCCCTGCCTATAGCCTCGGTGCACCCCCGGGCACTGCGCAGTGGGGTGTCTCCCAGGAGCCCCGATGGACTAGGCACCCAGAGCTTATTACACACAATGGTACAGGGGAGGTTCCCGCACCACCCTGCTCATGGGGTGACATGCCAGGCCTGCTCTAGGCAGCGGGGATGCAATGTGGACAGATGGACATGGTCCCTGCCTTGTGGTGCTCAAAGAGGCTGAGCTCTCAGGACAGATGAGTAGGCTCTGTGAGACTGGTCAGGGTTCTCCTCCAGCCGGCAGGCAGTCCTATCCTGTGGGCAGAGCCTGGGCTGGGCTGGCATAGTCAGATCCCTAGAACAGTGGCTTCCATGCTCTTCGTTTGGAAACTGGCCTGACTTCAGCTTCACCCTGGGGCCCCCTTGGGTCCTGCAGGCTAGATGGAGGCCTGGGTAGCTCAGGACATGGGCCAGGCAGCTGGGCATCCAGGTATGGACCTGGCAGCAGGCAGGTTGCTTGGCTCCTGGGCTAGGGCTGTGGGAGGGGATGACAAAGGGCTTCCTTTAAAAGGGTGGAAGAGGGACTTGCTCATCCCACAAATATGTCCTGGGTGTGGCTTCTCTGGGCCACACTCCCTACCCCTGGGACTTACACGCCTACTGAACCACATATGAAGAACCAAAAGAGCTGACAAGTGACCCCCAGGCAGGGGAGGGCCGGGTCTGGGGGGCAGTGGCTGATCAACCACGCAGAACAGCACCTCCTTCAGAAGCCACATCTCAGTGACCCCCAGTCCCTCGACGGGAAGGACTCATCAATCCAAGTCCTGACTGCCTCCAATGATCCACCGAGTTCTGCCAGCTCCAGCCCTGGATGTGCTCTCCATCCCAGCCCCTCCCTTCCCTGCCCTGCTCTCTGCCAGCCAGGCCACCTCCCCACCCTCGCCGAGCCTGCCTCGAATCCCCCCACCTAGCTCCCCTCACCCATCCTCCATGCTAACCCAGAGTGAACCTTCTGGAACTTGAAAGTGATTGTGTCCTTCCAGTCCCAAATCCTTCAAAGGTCCCTTAGCCCCCTGCTGGACCCACAATGCTCTTCCACAGTGGTGATATTTTCACTTCCCAAGTTATATTGCTAGGTAACACCCAGCTGTTTACATAAAGAAGGTGACCAGGCCCTGGCACCCATAACGTGGTCACTACTGCCCTCGTCTAACTAATGGGGAAGTTGAGACATGGAGAGGTCGCACGGTGCTGAGGGAGGGTGGTTATGGCTGCCACTGCCCTACCCCACATCGGGCGCCAGGGACTGGTTTTCCAGAAGGATGCGCCCAGATCATTCAGGCCATCTGCCCCCTCCTTCCGGACCCTGGCTCCACCAGCAGCCCTCAGTGGTCCCTCCATTGGTTTCTCCCTATGACCTCCCCCAGGGACTGCTGAAAACCACGGCACCTCCCTCCTCCTGGGGGGGAGAGCGGCAAAGTCTCAGAAGGGATTATGATCATTTTGGAAAGACAAGCGGATGTTGAGGGGGCAGATGGGACATTTATGAGAGAGAGAAAGCCATCCTGAGGAACCAGGGTGCGTACAGCGGGACCCCTGGAGCGCGAGTCTGACGCCAACCTGAGCACAGGGCCAAGCTCTTTAGTCCTGAGTGCCAGCCATGGGCAGAGCCATTCGGAGGATGGAGCTTTTTGTAGGGGGTTTGGAGTAAAGGGGGCGCTGCAGTCAGTCTGAGCAGGTAGGAGGTGAGGAAGAGGCAGAAGGGAGACAAGAGACATCTGAGCAATTCCAGCAGAAGGGAGGTGTGCCCAGACCCCTCCTGTCAGGGCTGGGACAGTTCTAGGACTTCTTCAGTAAAGATGTCCAGAGACTTCCCTGGTGGGGTGGTCCAGTGGTTAAGACTCTGTGCTGCCAATGCAGGGGGCGCGGGTTCTATTCCTGGTCAGGGAACTAAGATCCCAGATGCTGAGCAGCTTGACCAGAAGATTAAAAAATATAATAAAGATTAAAGAAAAAAGAAAAAAAAAAAGAAAAGAAAAAAAGGTCCAAGGTTCTGCTTCATTAAAGGCAGAAATTTAAACCCACAGGAATCTGGCGATGTGTGTTTTGTTTTTGGTTTTAACCACAGAAGTAACTCAGCTGGCTATTTTAAGAAGGCGGAATAAAAACACTGACAATGGTCACTAGTTCCAAAAGAATGACAGCTGACTTCCCGAGCTCTCTGCTGTTGGCCGTGACCTTTGGAGGCCCTGGGGTGATCCTACCCTTGTCCCCCAGCTCCTGAGGAAGCCGAGCCCTATGAATCACCTGCTTGTCGTCCAGGCGGGCAGGTGGAGGTTGGGGATCTTGGGGCATCTGTCTGTCTGCTCAGCAGTCTGTCCTCTCCGTGAGGGGCTGGTGCCGGCACAGTCAGAGTGGTGGCACAGCTTTGCAGTGGGACAAGCCTGGCCTCACCTTGGAACCTGGAGACTCTGGGCAAGGATCTGAGCCTCAGAGTCTTGGTTTCCTCATCTGTGAAGCTGGAAGAAGACGGCCTCCCACACAGGAGATGGGACTTTTCAGCCTGACAATGTGCAGTGCGTCAGCTAAGAGCAGTGGCAGGTCACTGCTGAGTCCCATGACCATGACCCGGGTTGAGAGCAGCAGACAGTGGCCACCACAGTCTCCAGCTGCAGGCCCCTGGAGCCAGCCTGCTCAACCCGGGGGCACCCTGAGTTTCTGGGGAGCCCACGCTCTCCGCCATGGGGGAAGCCTTGCTTCGCAGGAGGTCACTTCTGTGGGGCTCAGGGGACCTGTGGTCACCACTGTGGGTGCCCATCCCCCGACTGCCTCCTGCGAGGTCAGCCCGGGGGGAGCAGCCCAGACCCGCCTCCCCACCATCCTGCACGTTCCATCACCAGGTCCCCACGGGCCTGGCTGCTCAACGTGTCTCAGAGGTGCCCAGCTCCGTCATCACGGTCACAGCTCTGGTTCCTGGCTTATCTCCCACCCAGCCCTGTACCATCACCTCCACACTCTCCTCTCCCAACATAAAGCCAACCAGCGCTCTTCTCTGTCTAAATATTGTCCATGATGCCCTTCTGCCCGAGGGTTGAAAACCGGATCTTTTCAGGGGCTGAGAGGGACATCTGAGGCCAAGCCTGGCCACGATCCGCTGTGGTCTCTTCCCTCCCTCGGCTGGCCTGGTTCTTTCACGCATCAGGGCTTCTGCTTGGGGCACCCGGCTCCCCAGGTAGGCACCAGGTCAGAGGTGATGGTGAGACCTCACCCCTCACCACCACTTGCCGGCATCTCGGCACAACTGAGCACAGAGCTCTGCACTGCTCGTCAGCCCCACTGCCCTCAGCACAGCCCCTGGCAGAGGGTGGGAGCACGGAGGGGCACAGAGAGGCCAGTGGCTCGCCCATCGTCGTGTGGTGTGCGTGCTGCAGGGCGGAGGTTTGAACCCCAAGAGTCTCTCAGCTACTAGGTTGCGTGCCTCTCAGACATACTGAACACGTGTCATCCAGGCCCCGGGAGACGCGGGTGAGCAGAGTCGGCCAGGTCCTGCCTTCAGGAAGTCTGCAGCCTGGGGGGCAGCCACAGTGGCATCACAGAAGGGCAAAACGCCTGGACAGAAAAGCGCGGGTGCTGAGACAAGCGCGGGGGGTGCGCTTCAGACGCGCCAATGGGAGGGCCTGTGAGGCCCTAGCCCAGGGCTGGCCCCGCAGTAAGCCTCCAGACAGGCGAGCCGTGCCCCTCGGCCTGACACTGTGGACAACAGCGACCAGACGGCCGGCCTTCCC